CTCCTAGAGATAGTAGCCATCACGATCCCGGCATGGAGTCTCGCTGATGGTCAGCGGAAAACCTTGCAGGATAGGGTTGTAGCAGCTCGAGAGAGATTGCGCGAGCTTGATCGAGCAGGTAAAAGCTACGTTCCGTCCCCGACACACGGCCCCAACTCACCGGCGCGAACGGAGGCGGTAGCACCGGATCGTGTTCGTACTGTGAAGGCCACTTTGAGCCACCACCACACGCCGAGGGACTCGAGCCTATCCAGATCCCGTGTGGACACCACGGGTCGGTGCACGCCAACTGCCTGTGGGACAGAGCCGACCAGATAGCACACGGACGCGTGGATCCACGACCAAGTGCCAACTGCTCGCAGGAAGGATCGAACGGACGACGACCTCCTCATCCCGCGGAACTTGTCCAGAACCACGAACTGCCGCACGCCGGGGGACGGTGGGACTTCCTGAGGGAGGCAGTGTCTTTCGCATCCGAGATAGAGGGACATTTCGAGACATGGTCTATGTCCGAATCCGGCGCGGACCCGGCGGGGCATTTCGACTCCTTCGAGAGTGTGGTGCGGGCCCACGGGAGAAGTGAGACGGCTTCCTGGCTCCTGGTCACTCTGTTCTGCGACGTATTCGGGATGGACAGAAGCGTTTACATATACTTCCCTCGGGGCCGCAACGAGGACAACGGGTGGGACCGGTTGGTCCAGAGATACCGCTCTACATTTTACGCCCATGGAATACGGCCGTATCAGGTGCTATTGCGGCTCCCCCGGGGCAGAATTTACATTGCGCCACACGTACAGGAATACCTGGTGCACCTGGACCAGGAGTGCGAATCGCATCTCACATTCTACACCGTGGCAGTACAGAACGCCCTAAGCAACCCCGGCCAACCTCTGCCGCCATTCCCGCGGGTAGGGAGGGTGGCTCGGCGCCACGACGACTGGGATGAACACCATGTCCCACCCCACCAAGGAGGCGAAACCAGCAGAAATACAGTGACCCCGACTGTCGCGGCCCCATGAAGGGTGATGGGAGTTGGCATCGACCCGGGCTTTGACATGGGAAGCGGCCCAGAGGAGGAAGAAGGATTGTTGTCCCCGAGGAACCCATCCACAACAGCACACGCCACCAGTCGGACGAGCCCTCAAGTAAGACCCGGGGAAAGAAGCCAATCACTAGGAACACCAAGGCGGCGCAGACCATCTGCTCGCGACGGTAGCGGATTATCGCATGACGCTACTACATCGGGTGAACGTCAACGAACTTCCTCGGAACCACCTCAAGGAGGAAACAGGCGACGCCGGCAGGGAAGTGAACCGGATCCAGACGGTGAGTCGCGAAAAAGAGGAACGCCATCACATCCGGCACGCGGAAAAACATACCAGGGAAGGGGCTCGGGGGGAACGGGTACTCCGGGTGCCGATGACCGAGCGACCAGG